CCGTGTGACTTCTTCCTCTTCCCACAGATGACAATTCAGCTAAAGGGAAGGAGATTTGAGACGATAGAAGAGATTCAGGCAGAATCGCAGATGGTGCTTGACAGGCTGACAAAGAAAGATTTCCAGGGATGCTTCCAGGCTTGGCAGCGGGGCTGGGATCGTTGTGGTCACTCCCAGGGGAACTACTTCGAGGGTGATGGATGAATTTAATACCTGAGATAAGTGTACGGGTTTTTATAGGCGCAGTCTTGAAACTTTCCGATCGCACCTCGTAATGCGGCCGATTCTAGGTAGCAGGCTGTGAGGTGTGGAAATATAGTCTTTGGCATTCAGCGATGCTCGTTACATCACTGAATGATGCTTCGATAATTGAGCATGAAATAGGACAGGCTTCCACACCGAAGCAACAGACGATACGCGGTATCCAAATCCCTAGCCCGTGAAAATGACGGGTTGAAGGAAATGATCACTCTTAAAATTATTCTATCGTCCTTGTTTAAAAGAAGAAACCGCGACGTTTCGGAAACTGGTTCCGTGAAGGAGACAAGCTCTACCCAACAGAGTAGGTACCTCTCGCCCGAAGACGTATCGCTCGGTGGTGTAACATGTCGCCGAAGGATAATTTTAAAAGCGACATTGCTGTCGTTTGGGTGTGAACTGTTCTCATCGCAGTGATTCCTATTTCTATATGCGACATCTATAGTCTGTCGCTAATTGCCTGTGGCTCCGGCGTCAATCCTGCCTTGATAAACCAGAAACACGCGTCGACTTCGAAGCCTTGAACGAAGGCTGAAATGTTGGGTTTCCAATGAGAGCCGGTGGTTCAGTTTGGAACCTGGGATAATTTAATCTTTACTTGAAGGACACAGAAAGAGATTCTCATGAAAAAATTCTTATACAATTCCTTCCTGTTCATAAGAAACCGTTCTTCAAATTTGTGTTTCATTTTGGAGCACAGAGTAATATTGGCGCAAAACGATCACCATGGTTCAGACCGTAATTTTACCCTCAAACGCATTAAAAGAACACTCGTGAACAAATTCCATGGAACTGAGTACGCACTTTTTGAGAACTTTGTATTCACTCAGCTTGTCGATAAATTCCCCGAATGTTATGGAATTTCACGGTTCGTTACCGCCTCCGGCTTCGGACTCATTTTGAGCCAGAGAAATCCACCCTATTGCTTCAAGATCCATTTTAATATTATCCTCCTATCTATGCGTCGGCATACCATGTGGTCCCCCTCTTCAGTTTATAATAATAGGCTAATGTAAACTTCAAGTTGCATATATTAACGTTACAGACAATGTTTCTTTTATTTATTTTACAGAGAATCTGTGAAATTACGCCAAGTCACAGATGGCACACATTTCATTCAACTCATCTACGGAGCGGACAATGAAATACGAGACTGTGAATTCCTACGTCAGAAGAAAATAGTGCGACACTTCCTCGAGAGTTTCCGCAAAGATATTCAACGCGCAGTGATACCAAGCGGCGGTGAAAATTATTACAGTGAGGACGCCGAAGATGGGCAGTCGTTTCGTAACGTGACGTTCCAAATCTTGGACCGCGGCTTCCCATTGCCGTCAGACATTTCGGAGTGGCTGAATTTCGAGAAATTGAAACAGCAGTGCGAAAAGATCCATCGCGAGATGAAGAAACTCCTGAGGCACAAAGATCACGGGACGGAAGCACAGAAGAGGCACGCCAACAACAACTTAGAAAGGTTTGTTCTAATTGTAGATGTCGCCTTTAACTAACTAACTAACTAGATGGCCTACGGAACCCGAAGGTTCATCACCGAATTAACCAAAGCCCTCCACCGGACCCTGTCCTGGGCCAACAAAATCCAGTCTCCTTCAACTCCTATCTCCCATAGATCCCGCCTGAGATTATCCTCCCATCTACGTCTAGGTCTCCAAAGCGATCTGTTCCCCTCAGGCTTCCCAAATAGTGGACCCAACCAACCAGAGGGCTTACGGAACCCGAAGGTTCATCACCGAACTAACCAAAGCCCTGTCCTGGGCCAACAAAATCCAGTCTCCTTCAACTCCTATCTCCCACAGATCCCGCCTGAGATTATCCTCCCATCTACGTCTAGGTCTCCCCAGAGGTCTCTTCCCCTCAGGCTTCCCAAATAGTGGACCCAACCAACCAGATGGCTTAAGGAACCCGAAGGTTCATCACCGAATTAACCAAAGCCCTCCACCGGACCCTGTCCTGGGCCAACAAAATCCAGTTTCCTTCAAACATTTAAATCTACAGACATTTTATTATCCTAAACTGACTGAAAAATCGGTGATAGGAACTCCAGTAGTCCCACAAGATACCTCCATAACTAAATTACCGTGATAATACTTTAATTGAACGTTGTTCGTGTCAAAAATGGCATCAACGCTCAGTAGACTCGTTACAATAAGGAAAAAGTGTAAGGCGTATGCCTATCGATAATCAAGGAAAAGGCTATTTTATATGAAAAAGTGGATTTATTTACATATGACCTCTAATATAACAAGTTCTAATAGACTCCAAGGCTTTAAGTACAAGCTTCATTTGTAATTTCAAGAAACGACTTCCTGTGAGCACGCCTAAGTATGAGAGAGCTGAACGTAATTTGCTTTTATAAGATTTAGTAACGAGAGGATCCTGAAAGACACAGATCTAAGCAGTTCTAAGGATATAAACGTTAATAGTCCATCCGATACGATAAAATGTTCACATTTGTTAAATTCAGAGAGTAGCGTGTGATGGTAATTTTTATAGACAGTTCACACAGACTGTAAGGACCAGATTGCCCAAATTTGAATTTATCAACAAAAATCGAATCATTTCGTGTTTCTCTCAAGCGTTTGAATTCAAGAATAATCTTCAATGTATGTGTATTTAGAATGCCTTATGATTTTCATGCATCGTTGTATCATCTGCAACGGTTGTGTGTCTAGGTACAGGTAATGATGACCAAATCTGAAAGGGTCCATTTCATAAAGAGTGGCATCACCGAGTTTAGCAGAACTTTGTTGTCGGTGCGTTCACAACGAGGTTGCAAAAACGCGCGTATTTATTCCGTCATGTCTGTCTGCCTGTTCGAGAACCCCAGAACGGATTCTTACGAAATTTGATATACTCGGGAATTCTGCTGACATTTTTCGACAGATCCAGATTCTGGTTAACATCGGGCAGCGATACCAGACATTTCGAGTGAAGATTTTCATGTATTTCTTTGTGTGCGTTTCTAGCGTAATTCAGTAAATATTTATCGGGATGAAAAATGTTCTAAATGAAGGTCGCATAGAAACATTAAACATACTACATATTTCATGGTCTTTTCCGCAAGTCTTAACGGTTATCTAAATATACAAACACAAATAATGTTTTGCTGTGTCCCGTCACTCAATTCCAGTGTCACTGGATTTGTTGTGATAAGTTAAACTGGAGGACCTTGTTTATCATCCCGCCTCTTTTACGTCATTTGTAAGAGAGTAAAAAGTTACCACTCGCGAATTGAAAATAAATAGACAGAACTGTGAACGCGTCAGAACTGTTACGATGCAAGTACATTTCCTAACTCGATATTGATGAGAACGCCTGAAAAACCAGTGTTTCACCTGAAAGTCTGCAAACAAGAAATCCATAAAAATCGCAATTCTTATCATCCGATAGGATCCACTAATTTTGGGTCCGGAGTTTCGTAACTATTCATTGAACTGAGTAAAAATCTAAATTATTTCACTGTGACGTAAACATTTGCTAGCTTGAGGTTTCGTAGAATAAGTTAACAGCGCAAATTTTGCAAATGGAGTCTTTCACTGAACTCGACAGATGCGTCTATACAAAGGTCTCAGAGCTTACGAACATTGAAAACAAGGAACGCGGATTTTTTTTTTACCAGAAATAAACTGCTTTTGGACTGTTTCAGTCCACCGAGAATATCTGTGCTGCACCCACCACCCTCTACTCATTTGCCCGAATTTATAACTTGTGTTGGGCAAGGCCGTGGTCTAGGCAACACGGAGTTTTCCTCCGTGGCATCCCAACAATTACTCCATTCACACACAGAAGAAGGCAAGGGCAAACCACTTCTGGATCATCTGCCAAGAAAGTATATGAACAGGTCCCAGTCCGAGAAAAAGGATGGAAGGATCCTGTTCAGATGGACCTGTCGTCAGACAGAACACTAAAAAAAAAAAATAACGTAGATGATGCAGTATTCTGGTTCCTCTGACACTAGACTGTCTTTAGAGTAAGGGCTCAGGAACACGTGCTTCAACTGTGTCTGGGAGGGAGAAAATATCTTGTCGTTATTGCAGCTGCTTACCCTAGTTTTCGTTAGAAATCAGTTTTGAAAGGCACTTCGTTGTTGCTTATGGTGTATGATATGCCGTACCCAAAACAGCTTAAAGGCTGGACAACGTTTAGACTTTATATACGGGAAGTGTTTATTTGAAAATTCCATTGACTGTTTCGTCATTAAATGGTCATGAGATTAGGAAATACATTTCATTACCTTCTCTACATAAAACCCATTTAACACTAACAAATTACTTCCTTTCACTTTTGTGACGAGAAACTTCGTGGAATGCAAATGTTACTAGGAAGTTCATTATATCCTCCTCTGGCATTAAGATTGTAAATAAATTATAAATTAATGAAGCTGGGTGTTTACCACCAGTTTTCTTTGGCTTTCAATGCAGGTTTTTAAATTACGTGTCCTCAATCTGTTAAGAAACACGGGCTTGTTAACGCAATGCATTTCCTGCTTATGAAGCTCGTATATTTGCTCAGTTGGACATGCTCTCAGCTTTTCAGTTCCTCTTACTAACATTATCCATGCAGAGGGGTTCAGATGATAAATATTTACGGAATGAAGTCATCATCGCTCTGGACAGATTGTTCCTGCATTCGATCGGAATGCTCAGCATCCAGTGATCAACCGCTCAAAGAATGCAAAGGAATGAGAATTAATTGGTCTAGGAACAAAATTTTAAAACAGCGTCTTGCCGTATGTGACCGGTTAACATTGCATAGCGTCTTTTTGTAACAAAAATTGCATTTAATAAGATGTTTATTTTCTTTAAATATTAATCATCAAAGTACGTTATTTGTTGACAGCATGTTTAACTGAAGGAAATATTTTAAATTTTCAGTCAGTTTAAGAAAAACGCAAGACAATTTTTGGGTACTTGTCATAATTTCGGTACCATTACTTATCTATTACACCAGTTAAGTTTATCTGTCATCCTACTTAAAAGGATTACACAAATTAAGCAGCCAGCAATACTTGGTATTAAAATTTGTCACATTTCACTAATATTTTCATAAACAAAATTATGCAGCATTAGTGTATTTAGTGTAGTTTTGATGTTGAATAAGTGCACAAAATGTAACTGGCGTTAGGAAAGCTGAAGGTGTCAATCTACATGTTCTGAATGTAAGAAGTATGGATGCGATGGAACGCCTCTCTCCTAGAATCGAACCCTGGTACTGAGTGAAGTGGGGCTGTTGGCTATTCTGTGTACCTGTCTGCGTCCTGCATGTCCGAGTACACACAGTGGTTCAAATACGAGGTGCGATCGGAAGGTTTCCAGACTGCGCGTATAAAAACCCGTACACTTATCTCAGGTATTAAATTCATCCATCACCCTCGAAGTAGTTCCCCTGGGAGTGAACACAACGATCCCAGCGCCGCTGCCAAGCCTGGAAGCATCCCTGGAAATCTTTCTTTGCCAGCCTGTCAAGCACCATCTGCGATTCTCCCTGAATCTCTTCTATCGTCTCAAATCGCCTTCCCTTTAGCTGAATTTTCATCTTTGGGAAGAGGAAGAAGGCACACGG